TCATATGAAAAATATCGGGAAAGAGTTCATTTAAATTAAGAGAATTCCATTTAGAAAGCATTTACTATACTCAAAGCATTATAATGTTTCCAACTCAGCCCCTCACTCAAGCATTACAAGCCAAATAACATTACAACCCTTTCTCACTGGCAACTCATGAATCATGTGCTCCCCAAGAAAATAGAACAACAATTAAGGGTGTCAACATAGGCTAAACAACACATACAAGCCCCAAACACGGGCAACACAATATAATCAGGCCCCTCACACGTGCAACACAATATAATATGTTATTTAAATCTCCAAAAGGACCCTTAGGATTTATTCTGGACCCGGTAAAAATAAACCAAAAATTCTACCCAACTAAACTTGACATTCCAGACTCAATGAAATAGTTAAATTTCAAAAAAAAAAACTGTTTAGGCAAAAATACCCTCTCCACAAGAAATAAGACATTACACATCCATTGTTATTTTGTCCTTTACAACTTAACAGAGATAGAAGCTTGGATAGGCAATTTGCTCCTAATAATGTTTTGAAGCTGCTGGAACAATTCTACAACTTGGACGCTAAAATCCTAATTCAGGAGGAAGAGTTTTGCCCACATCATATTTATTCTCTAAGGAGGAATAGATATGGATATTGTAGTATCAGGGTGGTTAAATTATTTTTCTTATGACATTATCACTCTGCATCTTGTTGATCATCTCCTTTATCAGCATTCTAAAAATTTTACTGAAAAGTTTGTATCAGAAAATTGATCATTTTTTTAAAAAAAGGGAGGGTACAATTTTTTAAAGATACACCCCATATAAAAAGTTTGGGCATACAGTATGTCTATCTAGCCGACGTCACTTAGTCACATATATACTATATGCAGTGGCGGATCCATAATTATATATCATTCAGGGGTTCGAAAAGAACAATAAATACAGCGAGCAGCGAAAAATAAGATTAATCTTAAATTACTAAATTTTAACTCACTTTATCATATTCCATAAACATTTCGTCCTACTTACGTTCTGCTTCATCGAGACTATTTTTAAATTGTAGCTTCTTTTCAAAAGTTGAAAAGACAACTTCTCAAAATCATTTTTGAAACTTTTGGCGAAGCACAAATTAGAACTCTAATATTAATGGGATAAAAAAACAATTGATTAGCCAAACACATAATGTTAATCTACAAAATTATATTTTATAAAACACTTCTAATAAAAAGTAATTCCATAATCATGTTTTGTTTATAAATTTGTCCAATTTCACTTTTAATTTTGTTATTTTAAACATATTTATTACTAGAAGTTTGTTCAGATTCTATATTATACCCTCCATAAGATGATATAAAAATTTTCACATAATTTATGTAAATTTTTTAAAGATAATTTGTATAATTTTTAATTATTGTTTATGAAGAAAAAAATATAAAATTTTAGTAATTTTCATTCATTTAATATAGAGATTAACATGTGTTACGGTTAGCCGAAAGACAAAATTAGCTAAAAAATAAAGAAGGCGCGCGACTGTAGTAAATCAGAGTCGAACTTGCAACCTTGGGGAGATTTTGAATCCCCTTAACAAAAGATGTAAAAAAAGGGTCGACCCAGCCCAAGCCTCATGGGCTAATGTATTTGAAGGGCTAGGAGGGGCTAGCCCTTCATTTGGTAGGGCCTGAAAATGTTAAACCCAGCCCAACACTAGAAGGGTCGAGGGCTGGGACGGCTAGCCCTTCTATTTTTTTCTTTTTCTTTTTAAACATATAATTCTATAACATCAAGAAAATGAGATGATTTTTTTTCAAATTAAATATAGCAAATAATTGTGTTCTTTCAATAACAATAGAAAAATCTAGTGTAATTAGCATATATATCGCATATTAGATACGCGAGCGAGATAAGAGAGTGACAACCAAGATAGGAGAAAAGTGAGAGCCCGAGATTTGTCTATGTATGCTAGATACATACAAATCTACTTGGATAAAGTGTATCTAGAACAAATTAACTAATTTTGAGATATATGAATTTGGATGTACCAAAATCTGGTAAGATAAATAATGTTACAACATAGTGTGTATTTAAGTAATTAGATTATATACTAGTAATATTATTGTAAGTTAGCATTAAATAAAAAAATTTGGCGCAGGGGCTGATCCCGTTCAAGTTTCAAGGGCTAAGGGCTTATATAACCGGGACTTATAAGCCTACTTTTAAATGTGCTTGAAAATCTATCCCAATCCTACCCCAATAATGGGTTGGGTTGGGTTGTCCCCATCGGCTAAGCCCATTTTGATGGATCTACCTTAAACAACTGAGTTATGTCTTCCAGTTGTGTTGAGGGGGTCATTTCACTTTATTAGTCGTATATATTGAATTTAACCTTATATACAACGTAGTTTTTTGATATGGGAGGTTCGGGGTGAACCCCGAATGTTCACCTATATACAACCCTTACTATATGTCGTTGAAATATGAAATAATGAATCAAACGATAATGTTGAATGTCATTATAGTTTTACCACTAAATTTAACTATTCGAATAATACATAATCATTTTATACTCAACAAGTAAGTCGATTTACTAATCTCACCATTCATCAGTTAAAACTGGCATCCCCCCCCAAGAAGATATGGTTGCAATTCAAGCCCAGAAAGAAGAATCATAAGAACAATCACAACACTATGTGGATACATTAGATTAACAAATATGCTCCAGTAAATCTGTAGCTCAAGGCAGAACAACCATTTTAAAAATATTGAAGGATGGATGATATCTTAAATTTTTATAGACTACATCTCTTATACCATTCTGAAGAGAAGTATCAAACGACTTATCAATCAAAAAGAAAAGATAACCAGTAGGTATTCCAATGTCGATCAAAAGTTCAAACTTGTAAATAGAAAATTTCTCATCCCTTTATCTTTTCCTAATTATATCCATTATATCGCTATCAATTTTACTTTTAGATCTACTTATACTTAGGAAAAAATAAATACAGATTTAGAACGTGGCACAAGCAGGGACATCCCATACACAGTCTAGATTTAACATGTACCAAAGATAAATTGTGCTAGATACGACTGTCTACTTAATTCAAAAGACAAGCTGCTTTTCACTACAAAACTATATGTAAGCTAGTACCAACTTTGAACACCGTATATCTCAAGTTATATACAAAAGTACACATGCAGAAAAAAACTGACAAGTTAAATAATGGCAGCAAAATCGAGTATCCATGCATTTTCGCTCTTGCCAACTGACATACATGTGATGTTTACTGAAACAACAAGGTATATAGATCATTCAAATAATGAACAAACTTTAACTTGTTTTGCTGTCATACCCCTGACTAGATGTGAAGGAGCATATAGGAAAAACAAAAATGCAATTGATATAGGGTTCTACTTTTACAGTCTTAATCATGTTATTCTCTTGCTCTAATAGCATGCTAAACAAGCACATTCCACCAAGGACTTGATAACTCCCATCAGCGTAGAGTAACTTGCAACCAACATTTAGGTACATCAGATGAAATCATCTAGCATCTTTCTACCAGGTAAGATTAAGAACCTGCAATGTACCAGATTTAGCTTTAACGATCAAGGAAACATCTTCATGATAACCATTATCCAACATGTGAAGGATTAATAGAACCCTTTATCACGTTAGAAATAGACTAAGGTATGAATTGCCACAAGATCTATTAATAACAGAAATCAAATTGAGCACTGAAGCAAGATTCCATAAATACAAATGACAAAAAATATATATATTCATTAGAAAATATGGTTGCACTTCAAGACCACTAAGAAGAATCACAAGCACAATAAAAACAATGTTTGGATATGTCAGACTAACAGATACACTCTAGTAAATCTGAGTAGTATTGCTAAGGCAGAACCAAATAAAATGTACTTTTATCTTCATTAACTTTATCTTGTAATAATGATACTAATCCTAAATGATATGTGCAGGAAATAAAAAGAGATATAACTAAAATTTGAGAAAAAAAAGAATAAATCTAAACACAGAAGGAAGTCACACACTACCAGAATTAAGAAAGATTGATAAATGATTGTACCAAAATCAAGGAGATTGACTCATGTGAAAATGAAATCAGGATGAGTCAGCAACCTACTAGAAGGAAAGCACACGCTATCAGAATACAAGAAGAGTGACTTTTCTAAAGATGGAAACAAGTTAGCCACATACCACAAAGAAAAAGAGCACAAACTTATCTTAGTCACTATTTCAACTTGTAAAAACTTTGTATTCAATATAGTAAACTAGTGAAAAGAAATAGAGAGATTAGAAAACTATACGAGTAGAGGATGTCATCAACAGTGAACTGTAATCTTCCATGTCAAGGAGTTCACAACAGTATCTGTCTAATCAGAAACATTGAAGCTCTAACAAAATCATGGGGACAGGATTAGGCACCGTATCAATGATTCGAACAAGTATAAAAATCTTTGTATCAACTATGTCTTTTATCTCTTTGCGCCTTATATAATATGTTGTTTTATCAAATCGTCTATATTGTAGGGTAGTCAACTTCAAAAAAATTGAAAAATATATATATTTGTGTCATGAAATAAACAATATTTATAGCAAGAGAACCACATTTGCACATACAAACATTTATTGCTCTGATACAGATAGTCGAAGTAACAGATTAACACAAACAAGTTGATGAGAAGGCAGAGAAGTAACCATTGCTATCCACACAACTTTTCTTTCTGAATGTGTCTTGAGTGCAGACTCCTTTTGTAAGCTGATATAATTATCAGATTTAGATTAATCATTCTGGTAAATGTAAACCTCAAGTGGAAAAAGATAGCATCATAAGGAAACAAAAGTACAATTCATCAATTAGCTATACCTTTGCCTTGATTGATTCAATATGATGCAACAACTCTTTTCCACTTTTTTTTTTGTGAGCCACGCAAAATACAAATGCCAACATTCAAAAAAATTTCAATGTCAGCACGAGAAGCAACAGATGTTCAGATGTTTAAAAGCTTCAGAACATGTGGAACCAAATCCATCCTTGAATAGCAATATCGACATAAATATTGTGCATCCAAATTGATGCTTCCTCCAACTGTCCCAGCCATGTAAGCTCGTAGAACACAATCTAGATGGGAAACATGTCCACATATGTAGCCATCTACAATTGATTCACATCGAATGTAGTTGTTTACATCATAGTCTGAGCTAATAGTTTTACAACATAGGATGCAACAACAGTCTCGGCAAAAACTAGGATCACTGCAATAGATGTCACAACTTCTGGACAGAAAAGAATTTGCTGTTGTTAAACTGCTACAGATTCTGTTGCCAGCCTTACAAGTAATGACTCTTATAGGAGAATCAGACAGTAAAGGCTGCAATTTTGTTCCTGAAGATGTAGTCCTCCTCTCTTTCATATCTGAGTCAAAATCAATATCTAATTAAAAAGAAACAAATTTGGTATCTTGTATATACAAAATGTCGTAAGTGTTTTTTTAGTTGATGCAAATAACCGAATAAATATATACATTCTATATACAAAAGAGCCCTATCGAAACTAACCTTTTGAGCTTGGCGACTGCTTCGAACGAATCATCCAACTAAATGATGCAAAAAATTGGTTTGTATCCATGTCAGGATACTGAAACTCGGGATACTTCTTAACTGAAATTTTACTTTGAAAAGTACTTTCATTTCCACCGTTTGGAGCCTTGGAATTCTTCGGAAGATACAAATATCTATCTATAAAGGTGCCTGAACTTGTAACTCTGTTCCCTACTCGCCAGCCCCACTTATCACCAACATTTGGCCAATCTACAGGAGCATATGGTAAGCCTTCGCTAGAGTCATAGTTTGAAACTGGATAAAGTTGAAGCCCAATATCGTTGATTCTAGTAGAACTCCCATTGCATACAATACGTGCATGACTCTCCCCAATCTCCTCATTGGCAGACATTTAGCTGGAAATGTCTAAGTATGTTCATACCAATGAATGTCTAAAACCATAGAAAAATAAAGAAACGTCAGAAGTCCACATTAGAAAGCATACCATTTTTGGATATAAAATATTGTAGAAAAAAACAGTTAAAGGAGAAAAGCCAAAATTTGGGAAAATTCTCCATGAAATCAAGATAGCTAATTTTCGACCTGATGAAGTTATGCTTCAGATGAAGATAAATGTAAAATCCTTTCAACATGAGCTAAAAAAACACTCTCCTCCCAAGGAAAAAAGGAACAAAAAAAATATTAAATCTGGTCAGGAGAATGTTTGTGTATAATGCAACATGCTTATCATAAATACCTACAGTTCAAAGCCAACTTTGGTGTGAAATTATTAGTAATGTTAAAAACAGATAAGTTGGATGTAGAGAGAAGAAGTAGCCATATACAGAGAAGATTCTGGAGAAGAAGAAGAACTGATAGTATGATCATGTATTTATGCTTTGTACAATCAACAAACTTGATACTTGAAAAAGGAATCTAAAAACTAACTTACTAACAACTAATTTATAACTTATTTTACTAACTAATTTCTGAGTTAGTTACTAACAACTTTGTAGTCTCAAAACTCCCCCTCAAGTTGAAGGTTGAAATACATTTATCAACCCCAACTTGTCTAATATGTAATTGTGCTGTTGACCTCCCAAAGCCTTAGTTAAAAGGTCAGCTTCTTGATCAGTTCCACGAATATACATTGTCTTGATCAATCCCTTTTGTATTTTTTCCCTAACAAAGTGACAATCAATCTCTATGTGTTTAGTCCTTTCATGAAATATAGGATTTCCAGCAATCTGAATGGCAGCTTTGTTGTCACAAAATAACTCTACTGGAATTTTCACCTTCATGTTCATCTCCTCCAACAGTCCCACTAGCCAAATAATTTCAGCTACTGCTGATGCCATGCTTCTATATTCTGCTTCAGCAGTACTCCTTGATATAGTTTCTTGCTTCTTTGGTTTCCAAGAAATCAGAGAACTGCCTAACTTCATACAATAACCAGTTACTGATTTCCTTGTTACTGCACATGATGCCCAATCAGAATCACAAAAACCTCTAAGTGTACAATCCTTTTTACTACTCAATAAAATTCCCAAACTTGGTCTTCCCTTCAGATATCTCACAAAATGAAGTGCTCCTTCTAGATGAGATTGTTTCGGATCATGCATGAACTGACTCAATGTCTGTACTGCATATGAAATATCTGGCCTTGTGAGTGACACATAAAGTAGCTTTCCCACTAATCTCTGATAAACATGTTTGTCTATCAATTGTGGATCATCTGATTCATTATCATCATGCTTTCTTAGATGTTTGTCATAATCAGATGTAGTGAACTTCATGTGCTATTCCAATGGTGTGATTGCAAGCTTTGATCCTGCTAAACCCCATTCTGAAATCAACTCTAATATGTACTTTCTTTGTGTCATCAATATCCCTTTGCTAGACCTCAAAAATTCTATGCCAAGAAAATATCTCAGCTCCCCTAAGTCTTTGATCTTGAAATTTTTTTGCAAAATAATTTTTGACTCCTTGATAAGTTGCAGATCATTTCCAGTAATGATCAAATCATCTACATAAACAAGTATCATTACAATCTTCTGGTCTACCTTTTTTGTGAACAAGGAATAGCCATGCTTGCTCTGCTGAAACCCAGATTCAACTAATGCAGTAGTGAGTTTTATATTCCACTGCCTTGATGCTTGCTTAAGGCCATATAATGATTTCTTCAATCTGCAAACTTTAGATATCTCCCCCTTACTGCCAAAACCTTGAGACAGTACCATAAAGACCTCTTCATGAAGATCACCTTGTAAAAAAGCATTGAATACATCCATTTGAAAAACAGGCCAATTATGCATAGCAGCCAAAGAAAGAGCACATCTAACAGTAACCATTTTTGCAACAGGGGAAAAGGTGTCATGAAAATCAATCCCTTCTTGTTGAGTATAACCTTTAGCAACTAAACGAGCTTTGAATCTTTCAATGGACCCATCAGCATTGTATTTGATCTTGTAAACCCATTTACAACCTATGGGTTTCTTACCAGCTGGTAAATCAACAATCTCCCTGGTTTTGCTAAGTACAAGAGCATCAATCTCTTGTTTCATTGATTGAACCCATCTGTCATCTAGTATAGCTTCACCATAAGAGGTAGGTTCAATAGAATTAGAAAAAGTGGAGAGGAAAAGCTTGATAAGCAGGCTAAGATGAGAGTATTGAATAACATGATGAATAGAATGAGGAGCTAATTTTGTAGAAGGTATAGAATGAACATAATCAGAAAGCCAAATGGGAGGTTTAGTGGCTCTGGATGATCTCTTTGAAGGTAAGGAAATGGTAGGATAAGTAACTGCAGTAGGAGTTTGAGAGACTGGAGGTTGAGGAAGAGATGGTGATGAAGTAGATGGTGGTGATAACAATGGAACAGGTGATTGTGAAGTGACTATTGGAGGGTTGGAGTCTGGATCAAGAAGATATGATGGAATAGGAAAATTAGACAATAAAGAATCAGAAGAAGGAGAAGTTGAAGTTTGCTTGAATTTGAAAAATATGTTCCCTAAAATGAACATCCCTACTGACAAAAAATGAGTGAGATTGTAGATCATAAAGTCTATATCCCTTTTGAAAAGAAGAATAACCCATGAATACAGCAGGTATAGCTCATGGTGAAAACTTGTCATGAGGATTTGGATCAGTGGCATAACATAAGCATCCTAAAGTCCTCATATGGACTAAAGAAGGAGGTATATTGTGGAGCTTTTCATATGGTGAAATACCATGAAGAACACTAGAGTGTAGCCTATTTATAATGTAAGTTGCTGCAAGTATGCAGTCACCACAAAATTTGAGAGGAATACGCCCTTGGAAACTTAGAGCTCGTGCTACCTCTAGTAAGTGCCTATGTTTTCTCTCAGCCACCCCATTTTGTTGTGGGGTGTATACACATGTTCTTTGATGGACAATACCAAGAGATTGGAAAAAAGAGGTACATTGAGAATTAAGGAATTCAAGACCATTATCTGAACGCATGACCTTAATGGTAGTGTTAAACTGATTTTGTATCAAATTAACAAATACTTTCAAATGAAGCAAACAATCACTTTTGTATTTCAACAAGAAAACCCAAGCCATGCGACTGAAATCATCAATAAGAGTGAGAAAGTATTTATTGCCATTGTAAGTGTCATGTTTATAGGGACCCCATACATCCATATGCACTAATTGAAAAGGCTGAATGGTAACAGTATGATGTACTGGAAAAGAAAATCTAGTTTGTTTGGAAATAGGACAGATTGGACAATTACAAATTTGATCTTTATCTAATGTATGCTTGATGGTAGAAATCTGTCTGAGTACTGGGATTGGAGCATGCCCAAGTCTTTGATGCCATACAGAACTTTTGACATCACTAGAGTTAACAGAAAGACAGGAAGAAACATTTTGCAAGCTAGAATTGATGGTTGGTGATGGTGATTTGGTGGAAAGAATGTATAAACCATCCTTGACTTTACCAATCCCCTTCACCTTGCCAGTGTAAAGATCCTGAAAAAGAAAGAAATCAGGATAAAAAGAAGAAAAACAATGAAGGTCTTTAGTAAGTTGGGATACTGATAATAAGTTGTGTTTGAACATAGGTATATGCAGAACATCTTTGAGAAGTTGGTCTTTGTCTAGTTGTCAAGTCCCTTTATGAGTGATTTTAGCTATATCACCATTAGGTAAATGAACTTGATTATGAGGAGAAGATGAAAGAGCAGTACTAGATGAAATTAAGTCCATAGAAGAAACCATATGATGTGATGCTCCTGTATCAACAATCCAGAAATTAGTTTTAAAACTAGCTAGAAAACAATTGATAGTACCTGCCATGTTATCTACGTTTTCAGGTGATTCTTGTTTGTCAATCAATGTGAGAAGCTTCTGAAACTGATCAGCAGTGAAACCTTGTTCATGGAATTGTGGTGCACCATTCTAACAACTAGCATTGTGAGCATTATAACCATTAACATTTGGAGCACTACTAGTCCTGTATCCATTATATCCACTTTGTTCTCTATTGAAATTTCCTCCTCTGAAACCACCATTCTCTCTATCCTTATTCCTGGTGAACTTGGAATCAGGTGGATAACCAATCAACTTATAACACTTTTCTCTAGTATGTCCTTTAAGATTACAGAAATCACAATGTAGATTGAAATTCTTCTTCACTCTCATATTATTGTTATCTCTTGAATTTATATCATTTGTACCAGCAGAATTTGAGGATTCACCTTCCTCATAACGAGAAGTCACAATAGATCTTTGCTTTTGTTTAGAATCAGAACCATATCTTGACACAGCAGCTGCAGCAAGTGCAGAAGATTCACCTTCCTCATAGTGTGGTCTAGAATGAGAGCTCTGTGCGACTACATTCAAATGTGCACATTGACTCTCCTCATGAATGATCAGAGAATATGCTTGATTTACTGAAGGGATGGATGGCATCATCAAAATTTGGCTTCTCGATTGACTGTAATTTTCATTCAATCCTCCCAAAAATTGCATGAGTTTTTGTTGCTCCAGATTATTGATAAACTCATGGGACTTAATACATGAGCATGAAGGAGGTGGAACTAGAGATTCATACTCCTCCCAAAGCTCCCTCAATCGAGAAAAATACACAAAAATAGTCGATGTACCCTGAGTTAGTGTTGCAATTCCTCTGTGGATGTGATAGATCTTTGTGGCATTCACCTTATCAAACCTCTATTTGAGATCTACCCAGACCTTATGAGCATTTGAAGAATATACAATTCCATTCACCAAATCTTTTGACACAGAACTCATTATCCAGGATAACACAATTGTATTTACCTGTTCCCATTGATGTGTCATCTGACCTTCTTACATGTCCTTTCTGCAAGTGCCATCAATAAAACCAATTTTGTTCTTCTCTAGCAAGGTAATACGCATCGA